GAAACACCGCATCCTTTTTTGCATTGTCAAAAAATAATTTTCAAAAGTTCATCGAGTGCAGGTTGTTTGTTCATGCGTACGGGTAATAACAAACCATCTTTGGAATACCATCCCCAATCTGTTGCTCTAATATTTTCATTGCCAAGCCATAGACCTATGAGCAGATGTTTTATTCTGTTGTATGGGATTTCAAAATAAGAACGCTTAAAATTTCGAATGTATAGCGCCCCACTAGCTAATATACCGGTTTTGTAGATTATTATGCTCCGAAATGTACTGTACTATACTAATAGAATTTTCCGGAAAAAAATTCACTGGTTTTTTTAACGTATTTCTTTTAATTTTTAACGATAGAGTGTTTCTTCAAAAACGATTTGTAGAGGTTTTTAAGAGCTACAAGGATCTGTGAATTAAATGTTTTTGGAACCCTTGGTTTTTAAATGGGGTGAGTTTAAAGGGCTCGAAAAAGATGGTGCTTGATCGTAAATCGATGCTTTAAACGGCTATATCTCGCCAAATATTCATTGTACAACAAATCTAAATAAAGGATAATTTTAGTCATTAAAAAAGCTACAATTTGGTAATTTGTATTTTTTTCATATATTCAGTATTTTCGGGCATATTTAAAAAAAGAAGGGTAAAAAATATGAAATTGTAAATCGTTTCTCGCTTTAAGCTGTACTTTTTCTAACACAAAGCATTTTAAATGGGTCAAACTTCTTGGACGTATTAACAATACATGTACAAAGGGAATTTCAGAAGGGTAAAGATCGATTTTAATTATGAAGGAGGTTAGGGTGTTGTTTCGATTTTTTCGTAAAAAATGAGGTATTGACCTTATTTTCATCATAACTCACTCAATTTTTGAGCTAGAGTCTTTTTTATGATAGGTCTATTTATGCTCTTTAAAAAAGGTTTTGTGAGTTTTCTTTCAAAAATGCATCATTTTCCCGATATTTGATTTTGAATCTTTCAAATTTGGCATTTGAAGAAAACCGCTTAACATTGATAGGCCGTATTTCGGTTCCTATTATATCCCAAAAACATTTTAAAAAATGAATTGTATTTGTCTTTTTAAAAGCTACAAATTTGTTCTCTACAATTTTTTTGATAAAATGCACCATTTTCGAATTATTCGCGAAAAATCGATTAAAAACGTGGATTTTTTCGTCTAAAAGTTATTACTTTTCGCGGATAACTTGAAAAATATCATTTTAAAAAAAATGTATAGCACATTTTTTGTTTAGAATCACTTTTTTAATCGAAACCTGTAGTTAAAACGTAAAAAAAAATTTCACCCCGGAGATGGGGTGGCAACCACCCCCTAGGCTTTGGTTCGATATAGATTTTGATCCTTAGGCTATTACCTACCTTCTGTTAAATTTCAAGTCAATCCAGGGAGCACGAAAAAATTGCGAGGTGAAATGCTTCATTTCCTGGACTATAACTGGTTTGACAGCATAATAAAATCGTAGATTTATGTGTAGCTTTCAATTTTTATGAGTTCAGAATCCAGCAGCCCGCTGAAGTATTGGATTTTTATAATATAATTATTTGACAATATTTTGTTGGCCAACCACCTACAGCAGAATTGAGCCGAAATACATTATATTCCTATGTTCCGAATTTATTTCGTTCAATCTGTATAACAGATTTCAAAGAAATATTGTGATTGAAACTACTTTCAAAAGGTAAACAAAGTTATATAGGTTATTCCACAAATATACGACTGTTTGGGATTATTGCGACAACGAATATTTTACTGTGCAAGTAGAAGTATGAAAGTAAATTGGTCTAATTATTATTCCAATAAAAAGCATCTACTGTTAGTATTACATCTGAACTAAAATTATTTCAGTTAATAGATGTACAAATAGACGCAAAATTTATTGTGAAATTTAATCCGAAAATACCAAACATTTTTTCGCAAACGGTCATTTTTACGAAAATGTGTTCATCAGACATTTGGCTTGGATTTCGGTGAAATGTAAACAAAGTGCATTTGAAATGTAAACATTTGTAAATAAATGCAAACAGGCGCGCCGGGTTTCTTTGATATTATATTTTATTACTTTATTAGGTAAGAGAACTGTAATAAAAATAAATATACCATTTTTATTATAAATGAAAAGAAATTGGCAGAAGGATGGTTCAGAAACCAGAAATAGAATCTATATAATAGTTCACTTTGTTAGTTTTAAATATTTGTTTGGTTTGAGTGGATGTACTCTTAAGTTCCGAAAGTCTTTTTATAACGGGTATAATATACCGGCTATTGATAGTTAAAGTACCGAGTCGTTACAGATATTAAAAAGTAACGAAAATTTACATACAGTTTCATATATCGCCGACTGATTTTAGTTTTAAAAACCGTCCGTATAGGGGTTTCCGGTGAAGAGAGGTGTCCGTTAAGATAGAGTTTAGTATAGTGTATTTGTTTATTGAAGCTAAAAATGCCGAGACGTGTTTTAGATGTAGACAAGTTTATAATTAATGTACTTTCTTATTTTACTGCTGAGAAAACCAACGGGGGCCCTTTGCGACCTGTTGAGTCCGTACATAAACGTGTGTGTGATGCACTCTGTATTAGTGAAACAAAACTAAAGTCGGTTTTGCAAAAAGAAAAAAAAAGTGGACAAAGTGAACAAAATGTCGCACAATATAAATCTCGCCGACAACCAAAGACTATAGATCTTCCCGAAGGTTGCAAATTTGAAATCCGTGAGACAATATATAAAATGCGCGAAAAGAAAGAACATGTTTCTTTAGATTCAGTGCTACAAAAATTAAAAGACAGAAATATATTTGAAATTTCCAGAACAAGTCTCTGGAGAGTTTTAAGACAGATTGGCTTTAAGTTCAAAAAGGAAGATAATAGAAAGGCTTTGTGTGAAACAGCTAGTGTCGTTCACAAAAGCATAGAATTTTTAAGAAATTACAACAAATTTAAAGAAGAATGTTCTTCCTTCGTTTATTTAGACGAAACATGGATTTTTGCTAAAGGCGGTATCAAACGAATGTGGCAGGACGAGAGTATAAAATCCATTAAACACATCGATAACGAGGGAAAGAGATATATTATAGTACATGCAGGTGGAAAATATGGTTTTATTGAGGGAGCAGATCTTGTGTTTTCATCAAAACCAAAATCAGCCGATTATCATGACAATATGAATACGTAGATGTTTGTTAAATGGTTGAAAGAAAAACTGTTGCCAAGTTTACATGAACCATCCGTTATAGTACTGGATAATGCTGCGTATCATTCGGAAATTTTAAATAAGCAACCAACAAACACCTGGACTGTAGATAAAATAAAAGAATGGTTAACGAATAAAAATATTACATTTCCTCAATACTGTTTTAAGCTTCAATTACTAACGTTAGCTAAAAGTCATGCACAACCAAACATATATATATATAGTAGACGAAATTATACATAGCTTTGGACATCGTGTGTTAAGACTACCGCCCTATCATTGCCAATTCAATCCAATTGAATATATTTGGGGGATTTGCAAAACATATTATGATAACCATATTGGATACAAGGGTTACAGTGACGAGGCAGTCTTGGAAACATGGCAACAAGCATTGGATATTGCCACTCCTGAAATTTGGGGAAAAAGTGTAAAAAAATGTGAAGACTTAATTAAAAAATGGTGGATCCGTGAAGGTCGCATCGAAGCAGTTAATCCTATTATAATTTACCATCCAAATGAGGATAGCGACGACAGTGATTATGGCTGTGAATCTGATGGTTGATAATAGTTTTAGGAGATTAGGTGAATAAGAGAACAAGTAAGTTTTTTTGTTTTTTTAATACTAATTGAATATTCGACTAAATAAAGTACACTATTTAATCACTTAAGTATTTAATCACTTCGTTTAAATCACTTAATTAAAACACCAACTTGTTTAAAATACTAAACTTAATGATAGTAATTATATAATTTAAATTCTGAATTACAACTATTATATAAACTATCAACTCTATATTTATATCATGACTTCATATTTAAATCTAAGGTTTATATCTGTCGTAACAGTATTTTAAAAATGGGGAGAATTTACTATTGTACAATGCAGCACATTGGACCATTTAAGTCGACACCTTAAAGTGAATTTAAAATAGTCGTATATTCGTGGAATGGAGTATACTCCCCAACTCCCCACAACACACCATCAGAACATAAAATTATTCAAGCAGGTAAAAAAAGTCGGTGCGTAATTTGTTACCAACGAAATAAAGATGACCATGAACGACAAATAAATAAAACTAAGCAAGTTACCACTAAATACCAAGTGTTTGACCAAAAATTTCTTTGCTTAGAATGTTTTTTTGATAAGCACAAAATCTTGCCAAAATAGTCATTTGAGTATAATTTAAAATATGTGTCATTATTTTATTTTATAGTGTATTATTGTATCTATTATTAATCACAATAAACACTTTTACATCAAAATTAATTATCATTTAAATTATAAAAAATCTACTATAATTCAACCTCTAATAGAAAAATGATAAAGTATTTTTTCCCAGGCTAAGATAATTTTTAATTTAATTTAAGAATATTAAACATCAAATATTAATAACAACATTATGTAAAATCTTTTGTAACCTTATGTATTTTAAAGGGTTTTTACCCTGATATTTTGGTGGCTCAGGCATGTTAACTTGCATTTTTAAACCTGATGATGGAATTATTATTCCGAAAACGTTCGTGTAATTTAATGTAGCCCCTTTAAGGGTTTTTTAAATATATCCATTTACAAAGATCTAACCTTTTTTTTTTATTTTTAATCTGCCCCAGGTCACATTAACGATCGTTACTGACTGTATATAAATATACACGTGGCGGTTTGAACTCAGCCACTGTGTATATTTAGGTATACACATGGTAGTCAAAGTGTTAATTGGAGATAGCCACCTAGATTTTTTTATTTTAGCTAACACAAACAAAATAAAAAAAAATAAAAACAATATTTTTAATTCTCACCTTTGCAGGTTCCGCTTCTAATCCAACAACTAATCCTTCTAATAATGCGTGAACGGACAAAGCAACTAGCAGTCCTATATTTGTAGTATGAGAGGTCGAAGATTCTGGTTGACTGTTAATACTTAATTCTGCAGCAATTTGTTCATTAAAAAAAACACTATCACTTTGAGTTTGTGAAAATGATTGCGCACTTAACTGCCTTGATGCTTGTGTTTCATTTCTAATAGCGCCATATGAGTTTCTTCTGCTATCGTTATGGCCGTGACTATGTAAAATACTAGCTGCTTCATCTTCTGAATTGCCATATGCGTAATGTATTATTTCATCGATTATGTACAAAATAAAAAAGCCGGCACAGTAGAACAATTCTGCAAATTTTTGAACATGTTCTGGTAAAGAAGCTCTAAGTTCCGGTAAGATATGCACCAAGGACGTCGCTAGAAGTACTCCGCCACCAAAACATAGTAGGCTTGAAAGTATTAAGGGCCATCGACTTCTACCTTGATGAGCAAAGCAGTTCGGAATAACACCCGCTAAGAAACTGGTGACGCCAATACTTAGCACAGAAAATACTTTTGATTGTACTAAATTCATTGTTCAATGCATTGGCGATCGCTAAAAATAAACACATCAACACATCGCGGAACTATGATTCAAGTCGAACTGTTGTTAATAATAATCCCGAGGATATACAGCGATAACAAATAATTGACCATTTTTATATATTATGTCTTATCAGTTTCTAAAACAGATATTTAAATTTTTCAAACTATGAATCGGTAGACGGAAGGGCTAATCTAGAAAAAAAAATAAACAATATATTTTATTATAAAAATAAGAACATATTTTTTTATTATGTGGCTGTTTATTTACAAAATTTAACAAAATATTAACAAAATAAGCTATGCTTATAAAAAATCCTGTCCAATAAGGATGGTCCAGGAAAGTCACAAAAACCAACACTTGGTTGTGCACTGAATTGGAACACCTTAGGAAGAAAACAAGAACAGCTTTTAATAGAGCAAAACGCACCAAACTCAAAGAGGATTGGGATTCTTACCAATCAAATCTCAGAGATCTTAATATTGTTCTGAAGCTATTTTCTTGTGGCATTGTAAATTAATTACTATTAAACTGGGAATAAGCCACAATTAAAGGTAAAAATACGTTTATTGACGTTTCAATTTCCACTTCGGAAATTAATTAAAATTAATTATTTTGGTTGGATCAGAGTTGTTGGACACATTCCTAAATGATATAAACTATAAAGAAGAGACAATAACATTTACCATGGAAAAGGAATATAATAACACGCTACCTTTCCTGGATGTTTTAATCTCTAAGAACGATACTGGATATGAGACTCAGGTGTATAGAAAACCAACACACACCAATAGATATTTAAATTTCAAATCAAATCACAATATTAATGTAAAAAAGGGAATAATTAAATCCTTATACGATAGAGCCAAAATTACTTGTTCTAACGAAAATTCGTTCTTGTAGGAGAAACATTTGTTAACATCTGTTTTATTAAAAAATGATTATCCTTCATCGTTTATAAATAAGGAATTTTCAACAATCGATCGAATAGAACAGAACAACTTAGAACGAGATCCTACAGCATACACAAGGAATAATATGAGGAAAATAACAATACCGTACATAAAAGGACTATCAGAAAAACTTAAAAGGATAGGAAATAAATTCAACATTTCAACAACAAAACCAAACCTAACAGTGAACAAGAAAGGACAAAGAATTGCATTTATAAAATACCTTGTGAATGCGATCAGTTTTATTTAGGTGAATCATCAAGGCCATTAAATGTTAGAATAAGTGAACATCAATCTTATATTAAAAATAGAGAATTTGATAGATCTCAAATCTGTAAACACGCATGGGATAATGAACATAGGGTTCAATGGAATAATTCAAATGTAGTACTAAAAGAAACGGATGGTAAAAAAAGAAAAATCAAAGAAGCGGCTCTAATTATGCTAAATGAGGCCAATTGTTTCGCAAATTCCTCGGCAGAATGTAGTAGGATCTGGTTACCAATATTGAAAGAGGAAGTTATTAATACGAAAATACCAGTATTAGTAAGTCAGTAACATATAGAGGATACATCATTTATGTTTTATAAATAACGTAACATATAAAATCAGAATTTTGTTGTTTGTTGAAGGTAAACTAAATTCACGAACAAATACTTACAATATCGGGATAATAGTTTATTCGTCTTCCGGGTTTGGACCGTGTCATTTGTGAGTGACCCAAAAGTGGGTTCATCTCGACGTTTCGCTACAATTATATGTAGCTTCTTCAGGAGAACAAAGAAAAGGAAAAAAGAAAAAAGAAAAGAACAGGAAGATGGGTAGTTAGCAACGGTAACTCAGTTACTCAACGCAACCAGAGGCGAATACTAACTACCAAGATGGGCATTTGGTCACAGTAACTCAACTACTCAACGCAGCCAGAGGTGAAAACCAAATGCCAGGACAGGGATTCACGTCCAACAGCTCAGAACACTAACGCGTCGAGAGGCGGGGAGTGAATCCGACGATTACTCCGCTACCGCTCTATTTATAGTCGCGGTGCCTGTCGTGTCGGGACGTATCGGCACACTTCGTGGCGCGAACGTCAAGAAGCGCGCGCTGGCCAATCATGTGGCTGCATAGTGGTGGCGGGACCGGACGGTGACTCTAGACTGAGATTCCAGATGGGAGACAAGTAGTATCCTTCCTCTCGATTGATATTATGGGGATTTTTTCGGATCTCTAGAGATTCGCGGATTTTCCTGGAATAAAAGAAGGGGCTCTTAGAAATAATATGGGTTTTTTCGAACAATATGGAATGACCGGTTTCTTGGCAGTGTTCGGCAACTGCAGAATGGGAGAAAAGACCTGATCGAATGCATCTTTGATGCTCTTGAATCCGAGTTTTGACGGAACGACCAGTTTCGCCAATATACACATGTCCACATGAACAAGGAATAGAATAGACACCACAGGAAGATAGGGGCGGTTTCTTTTTTCTTTTTTCCTTTTCTTTGTTCTCCTGAAGAAGCTACATATAATTGTAGCGAAACGTCGAGATGAACCCACTTTTGGGTCACTCACAAATGACACGGTCCAAACCCGGAAGACGAATAAACTATAATTCTGACTCTGGCCGTGGAAGCCTACGATTTCATTTAATATCGAGATAGTATTATGAGGTTTTTTTCCTGGTTTTTCCCTCATAATTTACTATGGAATCACTAACAGGAGAATTTTACTGTCATCATGTCATGTGTTTGTCTTTTTAAAGACGAATTACATGCTACGATTTTTTTCTGACGGATATTCTCAGGTTAAAGTTGATTTCATGTAATCGAATGAACTATCTTATAAGTAAAGTCGTCCCAGGAGCGCAACTCAACAATATTGGCAATATCATTTTAAAGTCGTCTACTTTAAAATGCATAATGTATGTCTGAATTGTCAATATAAATGAGTCAGATAAAATTAAATTATTAGAAGAATTTTTCACTATGTAACAAAAAACAAAATTTGTTTAATTTACTGTTTATATTTTGAGAACGATTTCCGAAGTGGAAATTGAAACGTCAATAAACGTATTTTTACCTTTAATTGTGGCTTATTCCCAGTTTAATAGTAATTAAATCTAATAAATCAGAGTTTATAAGACTCTGCAGACAAAGAGCTGCTTGGAAAACTTTCTGTGAGGAAATTGAAGATTCGGTATATTAACGAAGGAAGATGGAAACAAAACTTCCAACCTTTGCAAAAGTGCTGAGGTCCTGATGAAAACACACTTTCCCGGTTCTAGTGTCTCAACAGAAATAAAACGGAATGGAAGAAGAAATCATACCCTCAATAAACGACTGGCATCTCGTCAGAACAATGATTAATGAGGAAAAGGTAAAATGGGCCATATTGTGTTTCACCCCTTTCAAATCACCAGGGCCTGATAGCATATATCCAGCCCTACTACGGTGGGAAGTGGATATCCTTCTGCCGCACCTCGTGGAAATATTTAGAGCCTCTTTGGCTCTGAGATATATTCCTAGGAAGTGGAGAGAGGTACGTGTGGGCTTCATACCAAAACCAGGTAGGATGGACTACACCCTACCAAAGGCTTTCCGACCAATTAGCCTAACATCTTTTCTCTTGAAAACGATGGAAAGGCTATGCGAGAGGTACATAAGAGATAAAGTTCTAGCCCATAACCCACTGCACCCAAATCAGCATGCATATAATTCGGGAAGATCTACCGATTCTGCACTGCATCATGTAGTCGGAAGAATTGAAAGATCGCTGGATAATAAGGAATCCACCCTAGGCATATTCATAGACAGTGAGGGAGCGTTTGATAAAACCACATTCCCAACTATCACCCAACAGCTAAACGTCAGGAGTGTTCCCCTGGTCATAAGCGAATGGATATTTAGTATGCTCTCCAATAGAGCAATAAGCATAAATGTAGAAGACGTTTCAGTCAGAGGCATGGTTACGAGAGGGTGTCCACAGGGAGGGGTTCTATCATCACTCCTCTGGAACATAGTTCTAGATACCCTGGTTGACCAACTCCGCAGCAATGGTTTCTACACAATAGCCTATGCAGACGATATTGCTGTCCTGCAAAGCGATAAGTTTGAGAACACACTATGTGAGAGATTACAAGTTGCTCTTCGACTAATAGAAACATGGTGCAAGGAACACTCACTATCTATAAATCCTAAGAGAACAGAGATGGTCCTCTTTACCAGAAAAAGAAGAATCACGGGCTTAATACCACCAAGAATTCTAAACCACAGTCTAAATTTTTTTGACGAGGTGAAGTACCTTGGTATTACCCTTGACAGGAAGTTAACATGGAACTTACACTTGTAACGAAGAGATTTTGCCTACCTCAGGGTAAGATTATGGGGGTAAAGATAGGGCAAGCAAAATAAATGCTACTTGTGCGAACCGCCAGGACCAGGAAAAACCTACGCTTGATAGTTGGTTTTTTAACTGGTCATTATCAACTAAGCAAACATCTCCACAAACTGTAGAGCATGTCCTATGTGAATGCCCGGAGTTATCGTTAATACGAGAGTACGCGTTCGGCGAGTCCTGGCCCACACCTGCCTATATAAGAGAGATGTCTCCTGGTGACTTGTCAACCTTCCTAGAAATGGCAGGATGGACAATGAGCTAAGGGCGACAGCTCTCTGGGAGGATGCACAATGGGTCAATTGTGGCCTAAGTGCTGTGAAACTTAACTCGCCCTCCCTACTCTACAGATACAGATACAGAATCCCGAGAATATACAGCGATAACAAATATATTATGTCTTATCAGTTTCTAAAATAGATATTTAAATTTTTCAAACTATAAATCGAGAGACGGAAGGGTTTACATAGAAAAAAAATAAACAATATATTTTATTATAAAAATAAGAACATATCTTTTTATTATGTCGCTATTTGCAATAGAAAAAGGCTAAATGTATGAATATATGCATGCATGTCTTTCTATTTCTAAAACAGATATTTACAGTTAATCGGGAGACGAAAGAATTAAAAGGGCGTTTAAATATTAAAGCAATTTTTGACGATTTTTGACCTTACCTCCCCCATGTAATGCAAGGTAACGTTTTCTGTACCCCTCTCCCTACCTAAACATTAAGTAACACTTAAGTGACCATTTTTACCTAAAAGTATCAATTATGTTATCGTTTTAATCGCGTTTGCAGTAATAATAAATACAACAAGACGTTTTCTACCTGGCAATAATAAGTTTTTGCT